TAAAAATCAATTAATTAATCTAAATTAAGTTTGAGGAATTTAAAGGGAAATCATCAATATGACCTTTCTTGAGCTCTGAAATATTTTAAAGCCTTTGAAGATGAAAAGAAAGCCAAGAGTTAGAGATAATATCCGTAAGACCTTTGAGCCAAATTAAATGGTCATGCAAACAGCATTTACACCCACTCCTTAAAGTCTCCCCTTGAGTTATTCCTCTTTCTTTCCACTCTTCCATCCCTAAACTATCTGCTTTATTTTTACACTGCTTCAGACTGTCACTTTTTCTTTATTCAAACTCTAATAGCAACTAACCTCTGGATGCCTAACTTAGAGGCTAATCCATTTTATTTGACATCTGTAGGTTTTCAAAGAGACTAAACTTTAAGTAAACCAAAACCATGTCTTCTATACTGATTCCTACCACAGGTTTTCATTTCATTGTTACCTAGTGCATTCTGGTGGTCACATAGCAGCATCAGAACATTGAACGACCCATGGTTAAATTAAGAGAGAAACAGAGACAGAGAGAGGAACTAAAAAGTAGAACTGACTCTCCTTATACTTGGCTGTTCATCAGGTCTTTTTTTTTTCCCATGAGGTCTTCTAATATATTCTATATTCAACCTTTTTGTTTTCTCACACCCTCACATCTAATTTTAGGCTTTATCTTTTGACACCTGCACTTTTTAACAGCTTTCTAATTATTTTGTCTCTATCTGTTCCTGCTAATCCCATTAAAATGAATGCATGTCACTCTCGAAGTAAAAATCTAGCCTTTCAAGACCCAAATCAAATTTCCTATATTTTTTGTAGTCTTAACTAGACCACTCTCTAAAATGGCTCTTCCTCCTTGGAACTAATTTTATCTCTTTGTTTTCTTAGCATGTCTTATTCAGAAATTAGCTGAATATGATATGATAAAACTTGTATTTTCTCACATAATACATTAATCTTGAACATTTTTATGTATCTCTGTAACCAGATGGTAAGTCTAGAAAGTTCTTATAATATAGTACGTGTTTGTTGATTTGATGTATTAACTTGGACAGGAATAAAATGGATATTTGACTTTGTATAGAAAAAATAACATCTTCTTGGCACACTGTGGTAGAAAAATGAATCCAAAAGTTTAACCTCAAAGGTAATTGTGATTTATATGGATTAATCTTTAGTGTGGGCAAGTAAAATTATGTTAGGCTTTGTGGATTAACATCATGAGAAGAGGAAGTTTATTTTGATTAAGAGAGAAAATTTTACTAACTGCAATTAGGAACAAATCAGGAATTAATGATGCATTATATTCTAGAGCTTTAACTGATAAGCACCAAGAAATAACTTTCTCAACTTTAAATGGTTTGCACAATATTATTTCTATACTTTTCTCCATGCACAGAGCATAACGAAAACTGGGTCTGCTATTCAGAAAATTCAATATTTATTCTAACATGAATTGTTGAGTTATGAAAATATTTCATACACTCCAAAAGAGCATAAAATCTACCCCTTCTAATTAGTTTCTCTATGAAAGCCTTCCAGACAATTATAGGCTAATGGTACTGGTCAATGCTTTAGATGCTTTTCATTAAAGGTATAGTGTCACTACCAGATGAATTGCTTCATAGAAAAGCACTTAGCACAAAGCACTATAATGGAAGGTTAAGTGGTATACTTAATTACTAATTTCAACCCCTATTACCTATATTTTGCAGTGCAGGCACTTAAAAAGGAACCAAATATAGTCAATTGGTTCCCACTTTTCTGATTACAGGATTTAGTGGTAAAAGCATTGGTCCAGCTGTTTTTCTAATGAATAATAATCAAAAACCTTTTAAAATAAAAATGCTTATACTACAAACCAATATAAAAGAGATATACTAAAATTTCTATTGAATTTATATATACAATCACTTTGTTCTAAAAACTTTAATCTAGGTGACAGTACTTAGAAATCTGTATTCACTCTCCATGGCACTGTTGCCAATGAAGCTCTGAGAGAAAAGGTATTTGAAATTTTCATGGCTTATTTCCTATCTCAATATCATGCTGAAATGCAGGCAGAGCAGATGATTAATAAAATGCTTGATGACAACCATGGTGACTCCCCTGAGTTTTTTACATGCTGTTCATTAACTTTTTATATGTATATATCAAAATTCCTCACAACTGCTCTAATTTCCTTCAGGGCAGATTCAGTGTTTTACCCTTGATTATATCCTTCAGAATAACTGCAACTTTGCTCACCTTTGATTTATTAATTATATCTAAAACAATCTTTGCTGGAAGGACTCTTAGAGCCTTTGACTAAATATAAAAGGTGAAATCGAAATTGAGTATTTCTAGAGCTTTGCTCCTTAATTATCATGATTTTGCCAGCTTCTGGCTTTTAAATATATTTTATATTGAGAAAACATTCAATTGATACATAAGACATTATATGTGTAAAAAATATAAGCCTAGAAAAAATACAAATATTTGTTAACTTTCCATTATAGTGCTTTGTGGTAAGTGCTTTTATGTAAGTTTCATGAGTTAATTAATACTGCTCCAGCCTCAGCTACTAGTATTCAAATTAGACATTAGCAGGCCACAAAACTGATTCATTGGAAAAGACCCTGATGCTGGGAAAGATTGAAGGCAGGAGGAGAAGAGGATGACAGAGGATGAGATGGTTGTATGGCATCACCAACTCAATGGACATGAGTCTGAGCAAGCCCTGGGAGTTGGTGATGGACAGGGAGGCCTGGTGTGCTACAGTCCATGGGGTCGCAGAGAGTTGGACAGGACCGAGAGACTGAACTGACTGATGTCACAAAAAGACAGAGGTCACCCCTTTTTGGACTGTGCCTAGAATATAATATCTGGTAGGCACACAATTAAAGTGCTGATAATCAGACAAAATATTTAAAAATAGTGAGGTATAGAAGTTTTTAAAAGCATAAGATATTTATCTAAATGCATTATTAGTACATCAGAAAACTAGGTTCTGTTTATGTATGCTTGGGAAATGCATACTATATTTCTCTTTTAGAGATTCAATATGGTATTAGTATAAAGTCCAAGTGTAGACATTTTTAACTTATTTTAACCCAGAAATTCCCAAACTAATCTGAGAGTGGGACTTCCTCTCTCCTCCCCATAGGTCACCATTAACATTCTCTAGAGCAGGGTTCTTAAAGACACTGGTTTGAAAGTGTAACAAGAGTGAAAAGTTAATGAACTAAGATCATTTTAATGAGCTAACTGGTGAAACCAAGTTAAGTTTCAAGAGGCAACTGCAGCAGTCTGATATAAGAGTAACAGGATTTGTCCTTTTACAAGTTGGGGTCCACTGCTCACAGAGGACCACATCCCAGGGGCAGAGTCTAGACCTTATCCTACTTTATGTCTTCAGTGGCATCCAGTGCAATGATTTCCTCTCAGTAAATATAAGTATTGATTAATCTGGATTTTAGATCAAAATCCAGTCGACTCCTATTATTTCACGAGGCTGCAGTTATTATAAAAATTACATTTCTATTAGAATTCAGTAAATGTCATAAGGGTTAGCAGAGGCTATATAACACTGCATTCACATTTAAGTTACTTTGCTTCCAGATCTTCTATTCCTTCTTATTATAGTTGGTAACAGAAGGTGTGCATTCTCATAATTGTAGTCTAAGACCTGGATGATTCGAAGAACATCAATTCAGGAAATATCTATTGTATCTATTAATTGACAGTATTTTAAAAGGCACTGGGTACATTATTAATGTGCTTGCCTAAGATTTCTGTATTTTCAGAAGAAGAATTTTATTACACTAAATTCAGTATATATTTGTAAAGCATCAGATTTAAAGAATAGGTTTGAAGTGCAGCTTGAATATGTAGATGTTATAAATAATAAAAGGTCCCAGAAGGCATCACAGATATTTCATTTCATAATTGCGTGTAACTACTAAGGAAAAGTGGCTTTTATTTTGTAAGTTAGTTACTTCCTCGAATTACTTCTTGCAAGAAACAAATACTGTAATAGAGTAATTTCTATATAAATTTTGGTAATCATTTTATTGTGCCAAATGAAATTTTCTTTTTTTAATCTTTCTATCATGCTATAAACCTGCTGCTGTATATAAAAGAGTTGTTTTCAAAAGAGGTGCACAGAAAAATGAGACAGTGTAGTACTCTATTTTGCACTAAAATATGGAAAGGATAATAATTAGAGCAAAATACCTTTGTGCTTTTAATCTGAATTTTACTTTAAAATGGCATTTAAAAAATTGAGAGTGTATGCAATCGCAAATAACACTGGTTTAATTTCTAATCTACTGTTTCAGTAATAGTACTGACAAAACTCATTAATGGTGAAGAAAGATAATTTTTATGTTATCAATAATAGCTTAACGTTCGTTTTATAGACTTCAAATGACTAATACTAGTGTCACAGAATCTGTGTAAAACTGCACAGTTATGTGACAGTGAAAACAAATGTCATTCACCTACATGTTCTTCTAGCTGCGGATTTATGGTACTATATAGAGCTCGTTTATTACTTCGCTGTTTGTCCCCGCCTGCAGCTTTCATGAGTTTCAGCTATGTCCCACCATCAAAGGAACTGTCTCATCCTATTTTCTTTCAGAGAAAAGTGGTATAATATTCCCTCTCTTAGTTTTAAATTTTAACTTTGTTACTTTTGACAAAGCCTTTCCTTTGTTCAAATGCAAGGATCCAGTAAAAAGAGCTTTGACATGTTGTGCCTTTCATGTGTGCATTTTTCTGGTTTCACTGATGTCCAGAATTTTGCAAACTATAACGTGTGCCTTCAAGTTCTCCTAGATAAATGCCATTTGTACACTGTATCAAGAACAGTTTAGGATAGCATTACGTTCACACGACTCTAACGTCCAATAAATACTTGATGGTTTCTCAGAAAACCCACAATGGGGTGAAACGGACGCAAAACAATGCTTCGTTTTCGCTTGTCTTTCATAAAGCCTTCCCCCGATACACACGCACTGGCTCACCTGCAGGGTAGCGCTCGATCACCGGCCAGCTGTCCACCTGTAACGTGGCGTTGCCGCCACTTCTCGTGAAACGGACCACGTGGTATTTCCCATCGTTAATGATTGCATTGGACTCTTCGATGGCGATGTCATCTGTCCCAACATTAAATTTAACTCCAATTTTCCCTTGATGCTGGAAGAGATCAGAGGAGTAAAAAGAGGTGCATGAAGTTGTGCTGATTCATCAGTGTTTATTAAGGATTACATTCAGGGTATTGCTCAAAAACATGCTTCAGAACAAGTTGCTCTCCTCCGATTTTATTTCTTAAAACGTGTGTTATGTTATTGACACCTGGGTAAATCTGAAGCGTCTCTCTCATGGATAATTAATATTTCAAAAGACACGCTTTCAAGAGAATTGAGCTGCCTTCTTCCCAGGGGTTGCCACAGACAAGATGCACAGCTGCCTGTGTGAAACAACATACTTTCATGTTCTTTAACATAGTTCCTTTAATCCATGCCTTCCATTTCACAAGAAAAATGAGACTTGAAATTCTCCCTTTTAATAACTGGTGAAATCAGAGCAATAAAGTCTATTTCTGAATATAAAGTAGACAAAGGCTCACAATATAGAAAATCATTCTATAGATTATGGACATACAGACAGGCATTTAGTGAGTGCAGTCATTATTGACACACACAGAAAATCCTCCTCTGCTAAGAATCTGAAATTTACTCAAATTATTTTACAGATGATGAAACTATGATGCAGGAAGGTGCAATGACTTGTTCAAGGTTGCATAATTAAAAAGAGGGATGCTACAGTTAGAATTCAGTTCCCTCATTCTTAGTGTATATCTAAGCTAAGATGAAGTTAAGATATGGCTATCTAAAATTAGCTCCCTAAATGATGTGAAGCAACACTACAAATTATTCTCAGTGCAAAGTTTGTGGCTGTTAACTTTGTACTTTGATTATACAAAGCAGTAAAGAAAAACATGTGCTTATGCCCTCTGCCTTTGAGAAGCCTTCTCTAACAGCAGGGCTGTCAACTCCAGCAAGAGTTCAGTTATTTTTAAAGCATGTGGATTTGCCCTTAATCAGTGCAGAGAACACTCGCACTGCAGGCCCTTGTCAGAGTACGTAACCTCAAATTGTCTGCAGCTCACCTTTTGTCAAACCTCAGTTGAGAGGAACAACATGGGGGGAAAGGGATGTAAAGGACACATAGTCTATCCACTCCTGCAGAAATTTAAAATCAGGACATCAGAAACCTGAAGATTTGGATCACATCCTCTTGACCTCTGGCTGGATTCTCATCATTGAACTAAGCAGCAAGAGTATGACATCAGCTGACACTGAGAGTTATTGTATTAATTAAAAAAAAAAACAAAAACCTTGTATAACACTGCATTAGTTGAAGGGAAGTATTTGAAGATGTTTGGGACACTGATCATTGTCATTGTTCCCTTCTGTTTTTCTTATTCCTGGTTCTTAGGGTCCACAAAAGAGCTCTTTCCTGTAACAGGTTAATACAGCTTTTATTTTTGTGTGTTTTCATTTGTTCCCTGCTTGATGGACAATATGACAAAATCACATTTCCTTTCTGACTTTGGTTATTAGGAAACTCAGAGTCAAAATGAGGAGGGAAATTTAACAAGCCGCATAGACCTCTGTTCTGTTTTAACCTGGGCTTATTTTTATATTCTACCGTATTTCTCAAGTTTCTTACTTTTAAGTATATGCCATTGTAAGGCATTTTGCTTTCTTATAGATTGATTCAGAAGATAAGCAAGGGGATTCCAATGAACACTTTTTACCCAAGGACCTATAAAGACTTTTGTAGAAAATTTTAAAGCCTAGGTATTTTGTATAAATACTCATTATTTTTTCATTTTAGTAGGATTCCTCTTTGTTCATTTTCAGTAAAATATTTAACATGGCATATTTATATTTTAACACCTGTGATACAATGCCACAGGAAAAATTTTAAGAATAGTTCATTAAGTTATCTTTATTTAAGCAACAACTCTATAGTGTCCTAAGCACTTTACCAATACTAACTCTGATATTTTTCCTATCAGCTCCAAGAGAGGGGTACTATTCTGTCCGCATTTGACAGATGAGGAAACTGAAGCACAGAATGATAAAGCAATTTAGCTAAGGTCATGCAGCTAGAAAGAGAAAAGCTGTGATTCAAACCCAGGCAGTTAGGCTCCAGTGGTTGAGATCCTAATCATTACACTAGGCTGAATTTTAGGAATATTGGGTCACCCTCTAGCTACAGGTAGCATATTCAGTAAATCTGGTTGTTCTCTGTTACTTGTTTTATCTTTCTGGCTAGAATAGGAGCACTATGGAGGCTCTTATTATGCTCTGCAGATTGTTTCTATGTATCAATCAAGGCATGCTTAAAATAATTTGAGAGAGGATAGTAAGCAACTGATACATGGACATTTGTTGTGTTCAGTTGCCCAGTGTGTCCAACTCTTTGCGACCCCATAGATGGCAGCACACCAGGCCTCTCTGTCCTCACCACCTCCCAAAGTTTGCTCAAGTTCATGACCATTGCACTGGTGATGCCATCCAGTCATCTCATCCTCTGACTCCCTCTTCTCCTTCTGCCCTCGATCTTTAACATAGACATAACTGGATATTAAAATGGACTCTTTTGTCTCAGTTTCAGCTGCAATCTTGACATGTCAGTAAGTAAAAAACAAACAACAAACAAACAAAAAAGGCCAGATTTAAAATTCCATTTTACAAAATGAAGTACAAGACTGCCTAAGCCAGACTTGCAAAGAAGAGCACTGAAAACTACTTTTGGGATCCTTGAGTAATTACCTATTTGCAGCCAATTAAAAAGGCAAGAAAGACAAAAAGGTGACTGATAATTAGAAGAGGATTTTTGGAGAAAATTGAGGTGTGATGTGATTTGCATGTACCTCCAAGATAGAAGGTTACTTTTCCCTTATCTTAGGGGTACAGGGGAAAAGGACTTTAATGGCACATCCCAGGAAGTTTGATACTTGTCTCCTGGAAGTCGGGAGCAGTTGTGGGCAGCTGCCCTTGCCTGGGATTTGACTCTTGCCCAACAAATATTCAAGGGGAGAGACTATGACTGGCTGAGGCTCTAATGGCAGCACAAGGAGTTACTACTGCCCCAGGGCTAACCTGGGTAATACTTCATTAGAGGAAAGAACAGGTGAGCTTTACACATGGATCACGGGTTAGAAAGCCAGCTCAGAACAGTGTTGTATTCTATCCAACAGGGTCCCTGGAGAGAGAGGTAGTGACAACCCAATGGAAAGAGAATGGAGTTGCAGTGATGGGTGCCCACGGACTAAGGTGAAATCCCAAATGACTATCTGCAGGAGGTGCATTTACCCTCTTTCAGGGAATGCAAGTAAAGAAATTTCAACCATGTGGTTAAGAGCACACACACACAAAAATCCCACCAAAATGTCCCCCAAAAGTGCTCCTCCGAGCCAAATTTAAGCATGGGCTAAACCCAGCTAGATGGTTACTACTGTGTTAGCCAAGTAAGATCATTTCTGCTGCTTATCTCCTCTTCCTTCTCCTGCTTCATACCTGGAGGAATCAGAAAGGAGGACGAGTAAAGGCCTTGGAAGTAAGAGGAGACATGACCCTGTTCCCTCGCCCAGTGCAAGCAGCAGCTCCAAGGCAGCCTAAGCAGGCATGAGACTGGCTTTAACTGAAACTGTATTTATTATTACAAACAAGTAAGCTGAATTTGGGCTTCCCAGGTAACGAATTTGCCTGCCAATGCAGGAGACTCAAGAGAAGATCCCCTGGAGTAGCAAATGGCAACTCACTCCAGTTTTCTTATCTGGAAAATTCCATGGACAGAGGAGCCTGGCAGGTTCCAGTGCATGGGGTCGCAAAGAGTCAGACATGACGGACAGACTGAGCCTACACATAAGCTGAAATTATATCCCCATGAACAGAGGACTTTTTTTCATTATCCAAGAGTGACCAAAGTAATAATGAGACTTTTCCTAGACTTTACTGGAGTGAAGAAGAAATATTCCATGGAACAGTTTTAAATTCCTGTCACAACCTAGGAATCCACTCTTTCACCATAACAAGCATGTGAGGATAT